TGCCCTCCGCACGCTCACAAACACACAAACAAAGACAAAGATCCCCCATATATCCTGTAACATACTGTTGAGGCAAGTGCTGTTAACGAGCACCTATGAAGGCCGGAAAGGCACACAAGAAGGTGGGTGGTCAACACCACGCCCGGCCGCCTGTGTCTCCATAGTGGAGTGGCGATGTTTACACACCGCACCAGGTGCTCATTTGAGGCTGAGTCGACCTAGGGGAGGCCCAGGACCGGTTGAGATAATCGTCACCGGGTGTTGGCCGCGAGCGGGAATCGAACTCCGGTGGCCGGGCTTGTAGCGCAGCGCGCTAACCGCTACACTACCGCTCCCGACTCGCTCACAAACACACACTCACACACACACTCGCACGCACACTCTCGTGCTCCCAGAAGAAACCGGATAGCTCACTCCGCGTGCACGCGAGAGTGGAGTGCCGCGCGTCAGCCGCGGCTCGGAACCGCCGTTTGCTCGCGAGCAATTCTGTTCCGCCATTCACTCATTATTATTACGAGCGCGCTCGGCGTGACACTGGGGCGAAGCGACAGGCGCGCGTTACGTGCCTCGCTCATACGGGCGAGTGACCGCAGCGCGTTCACGGACGACGAGGTCCCGCGTGAGATGTGCGCCCGCGAACGTGGCGGTGGCGACGATGAGATCGGACGGACGGCGTCTCTTTCTCTCTCTCTCTCTCAAGAGCTGTCACCCTCACGTTCACCTTCTGAAGCGCTCGCTCGTCACCGTGGCGTGCGCGATGACTACCACCACCACGTGACTTTTCTTTCGTGTTGTGCGCGGTGCATTTAGCGCCACAGCGCGTGGATTCATAGCGTTTGTTTGTTTGCTGGTGACGTTGTGTATTTCATATCGGAATCGCCTCCAGTGCTGTTGCTGCTGGCGGCAATAAAAGTTGTTTAAAAATCAAAGTCTAGAGCTGTCACCGTCCGGAGACCTCCCCCCACCCCCCATCAGTGAACGCTTTGTCTGTCTGCATGGCTCTCGCTCGTTCCCTTCCTCTCTCTGGTATTTCGTAACGACGCATTTGAGAGACTGGTCTGTCAATCTGCTCTCTTAAAGATATGATCAGAGACCGGTTTGTCAGTTCATTGTCTGCAGACCTCATCAGACGACTACAGAATCAGAATATGCATTTATACTCGAGGAATCCGATGAGCTATGAAGCTCTTTTTTTGTAAAGATGCCCAGTATGGGCGGGTAAGAACGTTAAAACAGCAAACAGTACAAACACATGATAGTAGTGCAAAGTACAAGAAAGGTAAACTAATCAGCCAGTCCGTCCGTCGAATGGAGGCCCCGTTAGACAGCAGTCCGTCCACCTGTCTCTCTGTCTGTGTTTGTTTTTTGAACAATTACACAATGCAAGAGACGAGTCTGCCAATCTCCTATACTGTATATATGTGCTATGAAGAATGGCCAATTCCAGAATTGGTCCTTGAAGATGGCATCACAAAACTACTTATTTAGCCACAATACGGTCACACCTTTTTACGCGCACTGACTAGAGTGTTCCTCACATGCTAATCAAATGAAAATAATAAAATCTTACTCATGAAAATCCAATTATAATTTGTTGGGGTTTTTTTTTGCCGTGCGTGCAGGCATTCGTGACCGGGCTGAGACCATCAATTCGCTACCCCTTGAGAAACCCAGCGCGAACAAGCGCGGCTGAAAACCCGGACTCGAACCCAGGTCCTCAGCTGTGTCAGCGCAGGTTTCCTGATGCCCGAGGTCACCAGTCTACTGGCTCTAAAATTCCAGCCGCCTGGGTTCAATTCCTGGTCACGCACATCACAAAGAGGCAAACGGTGTCTGATCTCGTTTGCAAAATCCTTTTTTTTTGTCGATGAGCGTGTGGCTGAGTGTGGCTGGGTGGCCTGGTAAGTTCCTGAGTGGATGCTTTACTGGCTTGCTTCATGGAGGGAATTGCTAAGTGGCTGATATTTGCAAACACACACGGAGCTGTCAAGGTGCAGCCCTGCAATGTCTTGGCTCGCGCCACTGCTGGCGATTGGGCCTTAGATCGAGACAGATCTGGAGAGCTCCACTCAAGGGTGTTTTTCGGCACACTCTTCGGGAGAGGTGTAGCTATTAACTCGCCACTGACGTTAGCCGTGGCCTAGAATCAAAATCTGGTCGCTGGGTTGGTACTGCAGTGATCTAACCGTTGCGCCACTGCCCCCCCCCTCCACCGACCCCCCCCCCCCAACACACATAAGTGCATGCACGCATGTATATATATAACCTATTTCAATTACATCACGCACGCAATGGTTATTAAATACGCACATGGCAGCATTAAGAACGTGTGGCGACACGCAGGCAGGGAGAGAGGCATCGCGCAGACTCACAGAGAGTGAGACGGGCGATAATGACGAGGTTTAGCCCGAGTGCTTTGCTCGCATGGGGCAGGCAAATGACAAGGGCTGATGCCGCGTATTTGCGCAACGCGGTGGAGACACAGGTTATTATTAGGGCACAATTACGGGTGAAAATCAGCGTGTAAGTGCGTGCATGTATGTGCGTGAGCGTGGAGCGGTAGTGCGGTGATTAGCGCGCTGCGCTACGAACCAGGTGACCCGAGTTCGAATCCTGCTCACGGCCAACACCGGATAACGATTATCTGAACCGGGTCTGGGCCTTCCCTAGGTCGACTCGGGAGACAAAAGTGACTCGGAATGGTGCTGGTCACCCACTCCCTCGTGTGCTGTGCCGGCCTTCATAGGTGCTCGCGAATAGAACTTTCCCCTACATTCTGTTTAGGCTACACGTTGTGGGTGGGAGAGAACATCAGTGGCGAATGCCTGAACCCTGTCCTGGGCCTCCCCGAGGTCGGCACAGCCTCTAACGAGTAAACCCGATGCCGCGTGTGAATACGCCGGCGCGGGGGTGAGAGACAAAGACGGCGCGGCTCCGGCCCAAACCTTCCGCTGTTGCGACCTTCGTAAGCGCACCTCGCTCACGTGGGGCGATCTGCCCTCGGCAGCTTGTGTAGGCTCCCGTGGGGCGATTTTTGCACGAGGTGAGTCGCTGGCGACCTGATTTACAACCACAATCGTCGTGGTCGCTGCCTTACGCAGGAAAACAGCTCGGAAAGCGGACCTCTCTCGTGTCCTGACGACGCACACCGACGCTGTGTGTGGGATACGTTGGCTGTGCGGGTGTTTTTGGAACCTGAGCTGGCTGGGCGGTTTCAGGGGGGTCAGAGACAACCGGTTTGAATCCGAGTTTCAGCCGCCCGTGATGAAACGGGGTTCTCTCGAGTGTAGAGAGCTAATGGTCTCAGCACGGTCACCAATGACTGCACCACCCCCCCCCCCCTGCCGCCACCCCCACCCCCGCGTAATGTGAGGTTTTAAAAAATAATAATTTGTGAGCACGGCGCTTCGGGCTCCTGCCCGCGGAATTTCTGTGCCCCCTTCTCTGCTAATTGCTCGTGCTCTGTGCCGGGCCCTTGTCAGAAAAAAAAACACAAAAAAACGAAAATTATAATTTGACTTTCCACCGAATTTGTATATATTAATTTGACTCAGAGAATAGAATAATAAAAACTAGTTTGACTGCTGCGCGAGGATCATTTCTCTGTGCCGGGGAGCGTGGGATGGGAAATCTCAATCCCCGAGTGTGCGGATTCGAGCTGTCACTGGAAGAGATCTCAGGAGCAGTTCTGCGAGATCTCCTTCCGCGCACCGTGCTCCGATACCGAAGGAGATTCTCTTCTTTCTGTGAGCGTTCCCAATGAATGGACTACATCTATAATTAGACGGGATGAATCCGATGAGCCATCAAGCTCTGTTTTTTAACAGACGTCCATATACGCACGGCGTGTGTCCGGCCTTGCTGACCCGGGAAAAAAAAAACATTCCCGCGCCCGGCACACCGTATCCACCAAGAGTCCTCTCGCTCACGACTGTCACTACGAGTCGCGTGCCGTCCACTCCTCCTCGAGTCTAACAGCAGCGTCACGGACAACATTCAGCGAGAAATGAAAACCTTGGCGCAATGGATGGCGTACAAGCAGCCCCAGCCGTCACCCCCTCCCCCCCATTCTTGTTTATAGCGGAGGAGTGGTGGTGGTGGTGGTGGGGGGCACGACACGACAAGGTCAATGTGTTAAGCAAACTTTAAACAGATGTTAGACGACGCCCCAACAGAATGAATGACGACGCGATCGGCGTTGTGCCTGTCGCGCGCATTCTGCTGGGAGGCTCGCGCCTCTTGAGTACGAGGAACGTGTGTATGTATGTATGTGTATGTGTGTGTATATATGTGTGTGTATGTATGTGTGTGTGTATGTATGTGTGTGTATTTGTGTGTGTCTTTGTCTTTGTATGTGTGTGTATGTATGTGTGTGTATGTGTGCGGGGAGCGGTAGTGTAGCGGTTAGCGCACTGCGCTATGAACCTGGCGACCCGGGTTCGATTCCCGCTCACGGCCAACACCAGAGACGGTCCTGGGCCTCCCCTAGGTCGACTCAGCCTCAAATGAGTACCTGGTGCAGTGTGTAAACATCGCCACTGGGGAGACAAAGGCGGTCGGACGTGGTGCTGGCCACCCACCCCCTCGTGTACCGTTCCGGCCTTCATATGTGTATGTGTGTGTTTATGTTGGGCTTCTTTCGCACCGTACGTAGCTAACGGTGCTAATCGGACGTGCGGGGGAAGGAGGAGACTGCCAACAAAGCAGCTCTAAGGAAATGGATGTGTCGACTTGACTCCGAGAACTTTCAAGGGGGGCCCAGCACCCCCCCCCACTCCCTCCCCCCCCCACCCCCTCAGACTGAGAGGTATAAATAGGGTGAGGAGGGTGAGGAGTCTGGACAGGGTGAGAGGAATTATGAGGGTGAGGAGGGAGAAGGAGAGTAAGAACAGCGAGGAGTACAAGGGGTGAGGAGGGTGAGGAGGGTGATGAGTGTGGGGTGAGTGAGAGGGGTGAGGAGGGCAAGAGGGGTGAGCCAAGTGAGCGGGCCGCGGACTCACCGATGCGTACAGCTTCCCCTTGTTACTCATGGCGATGAAGAGGCCGGCCTTGACCCCGTAGAGGCTCACGACCCCTCGCTCCACCGTGGCGATCTCCAGGAGACCTGCGGCCACGGCGTTACCGTCATGCACAGGGGGCGGGGCATCGTCGTCATCATCATCATCATCGCCGCAATCATTCCTGTAACACGGAATTGGATGACGCTGCAAGGTGTTGAGGAACGAGTGGCAGCAGCAGCGATAGAGGGGCTACTTGGGGGTCACGATAGGGCTGTAGGGGAGGCTTTAAGAGAGAAACCGGAGGGAGGTTATAAGGATGGAGGGGAGCTGCTAAGCGAAGGTCTCCTGCAGGCCGCCATCCGGCTCCCTCCCCGCGCTCACCTGAGCTCATGGGGCGCGGTGCAAACCCCGATGGGGTTGAACTCGGCTACGAGGGCGGTGCACGGCATCGCGGGCACACGATGCAGGAGAAAGATGATGAAATTTGCCTCCCGATTAGCACGGTTGGCTACGTACGACGCACAATAAGCGGTGGGGCGGGACGAGTATATCCACAGGATAACCACTGACGACTTCCCACACAAAAGTGGAGCTCATTTGATTAACCCCGATTCGTAATCATGCCCTTCCGATGATGAAGCTGCGCAACGCCGAGTCTCGGAGACTCCCTCTCAGGAGGGTCCTGCAGCACTGGGGCGTTTGGCCAGTTCCACTTGACGTCGTACGGAGCCACCCTCGAACGGTAAGAAACCCGAGCGGCCTGCGGAAACGCCGCCACCCCCCCCCCCCGTCTCCCACGATCCCCGCTTGCCGTACCACCGCCCTCTCCTCGCCACCTGTCACCCCAGCGGGTGATGGAGTTCCACACACACACACAAAAACTCCGCCTGATCCGTAAACCCTCGCCTCCAAAAGCACCGGAACGATGGTGTGCGCGTCAACGCAACAGATTTCTGTCATCGGAGCGAAATGTTACAGCAGAGAGATAGAAACTCCTCGTCATGACCACGAGCCATTATCAATCCACCGCTGGATGAAGGCCTCTGTCATCTGTCACAACCCTGCGATGCAACAGTCCGCGCGAGCGACTGAAAATGGGCACGCGCGTAATCAACCCCTAGGCGGTGTCGGCCAGCCGATCGCTATGTCGGTCACAGAGGACGCTAGTGCGGGGGGGGGGGTCACCCGATCGATGGGGCGGGAGGACATCAGCCCAATTAGAAGGGGCGCCCCTCCCGCCCGTGGTGGGTGAGGGGGAGGTCGGCCCCCACCTAATGAGGAGTGAAGGGGGGGGCATCAGCCCCCACCAAGTAGACGTGGCGCCCCCCCCCCCCGCTCGTGGTGAGGGAGGGGGGGATCGGCCCCCACATAGTGGTTTCGACATGTTTGTTTTGTTGTAGTACGGAGTTAGACTGATGGCCTTAATTTAAGTTGTCTTGTGGTTGTTGTTTAACTTGCATCCCACTGGGATTTTTTGCACACAGCGTTGGTGTACGGTGCTTTTTTTAAGAATATGTTGCTGTTTTTTAATGGATTTTCTGTTTGCACAGTCACACAAAGTCACTTCAAGATGTTTTTCTTGTTCGTGTTTTTGTGTTGTTGTTTGTTGTGGTTGCACCCGATTCAAGAGCCGAATGGCTCACAGGGCTATACCAAAATAAATAAACTGAAACTGAAACCCCTGGACGAGTTCCCTCCCTTAGCTACCGCCCCTTCTTTAGTCTTGCCCACCGGCCACCACCCATGCCCAAGCCCACCTTTCTACACGATCAACCACCGAATGACGCCATTAATCGCGGATGTTCTCTGCTCCACGTGTCCCCCTCGCTCTGCCCCTCTCAGTGTCATTTTTCAGTTTCATGTATTAGGTATAGCCCTGTGAGCCATGCGGCTCTTGACTCGGGTGCAACCGCAACAAACAAAAACATGAACAAAGAACATCTTAAAGTGACTACGCGCAACAGAAAAATCCAGGAAAAAAACTGCAAAATCTTCATCCCAAGCGCGCGTCTCCCCGTGCTTCTGCGCGCACCGTTATGGCTCTTGCCCCGTCTTCTTCGTGACCAGGGTCCACACGACGACTCGGCCCCGTGTACCGTAGCGGATTACACGCGCGCACGGGTCAAGATAACGCAGCGAAATATTCCAGCGAAAATCCGTGAACTGCACAGAGCAAACGCTGTGGTGGGGGAAGAGCTGCTGAACAAGGCAGAGCTTACTAGGGAATAGTTATCTGCCTCCCCCCCCCATTGCCTACCTGGTACTACAACACCTGGTTACTACAACAACTGATACAACACCTGGTACTACAACACCTGGTTACTACAACACCTGGTACTGCAACACCTGGTTACTACAGCACCTAGTACTACAACACCTGGTTACTACAACACCTGGTACTGCAACACCTGGTACTACAACACCTGGTACTACAACACCTGGTTACTACAACACCTGGTACTGCAACACCTGGTACTATAACACCTGGTTACTACAACACCTGGTACTGCAACACCTGGTTACTACAACACCTGGTACTGCAACACCTGGTTACTACAAAACCTGGTTACTACAACACCTGGTAGTATAACACATTGTTAGTACAACACCTGGTACTACAACACCTGGTTACTACAACACCTGGTTACTACAACACCTGGTAGTATGACACCTGGTACTACAACACCTGGTTACTACAACACCTGGTTACTACAACACCTGGTACTACAACACCTGGTTACTGCAACACCTGGTTACTACAACACCTGGTTACTACAACACCTAGTACTACAACACCTATTACTACAACGCCTGGTTACTACAACACCTGGTACTGCAACACCTGGTACTACAACACCTGGTACTGCAACACCTGGTTACTACAACACCTGGTACAACAACACCTGATACTACAACACCTGGTACTACAACACCTGGTTACTACAACACCTGGTAGTATGACACCTGGTACTACAACACCTGGTTACTACAACACCTAGTACTACAACACCTGATGCTACAACACCTGGCATTACAACACCTGGTTACTACAACACCTGGTACTACAACACCTGGTTACTACAACACCTGGTACTACAACACCTGGTACTACAACACCTGGTTACTACAACACCTGGTACAACAACACCTGATTACTACAACACCTGGTACTACAACACCTGGTTACTACAATACCTCGTACAACAACACCTGGTTACTACAACACCTGGTTACTACAACACCTGGTACTGCAACACCTGGTTACTACAACACCTGGTTACTACAACACCTGGTACTGCAACACCTGGTTGCTACAACACCTGGTTACTACAACACCTGGTACTACAACACTTGATACTACAACACCTGGTTACTACAACACCTGGTACTACAGCACCTGGTACTACAACACCTGGCTACTACAACACCTGGTACTACGAAACCTGGTACTACAACACCTGGTACTACAACACCTGGTACTACAACACCTAGTACTACAACACCTGGTTACTACAACACCTGGTTACTACAACACCTGGTACTACGAAACCTGGTTACTACAACACCTGGTTACTACAACACCTGGTTACTACAACACCTGGTACTACGAAACCTGGTTACTACAACACCTGGTTACTACAACACCTGGTTACTACAACACCTGGTACTACAACACCTGGTACTGCAACACCTGGTTACAACAACACCTGGTACAACAACACCTGATACTACAACACCTGGTTACTACAACACCTGGTTACAACAACACCTGGTACTACAACACCTGGTACTACAACACCTAGTACTACAAGACCTAGTACTACAACACCTGGCTACTACAACACCTGGTTACTACAACACCTGGTACTACAACACCTGGTTACAACAACACCTGCTACTACAACACCTGGCTACTACAACACCTGGTACAACAACACCTGATACTACAACACCTGGCTACTACAACACCTAGTACTACAACACCTAGTACTACAACACCTGGTTACTACAACACCTGGTACTACAACACCTGGTTAATACAACACCTGGTTACTACAACACCTGGTACTACAACACCTGGTTACTACAACACCTGGTTACTACAACACCTGGTACTACAAAACCTGGTACTACAACACTTGGTACTACAACACCTGATACTATAAGCCCCCCCCCGACGGTGGGTAGGTGAGCGGGTGAGCGCAGCAGGAATGCAGGCGGGGCAGGGCAGGTCACTTGGTAGTTGGTGAGGTCGATTGAGCCTCAAATGAGTACCTGGTGCGGTGTGTAAAACGTCGCCTCTGGGGAGACAAAGACGGCCGGGCGTAGTGCTGGCCACCTACCCCGCTCGTGTGCCTTGCTGGCCTTCGTAGTTGCTACTCGCTAACAGCATTTGCGACAGCAGTCTGCAAAGACTATACGGAGGATCTTGCTCTTTGGTTTGCTGGGCAAATAGGTAGGTGGGAATTTGGGTGGGTAGGCAGGTAGATGGATTGGTATAAAAGTGAAAAGATTGGCTAAATTAGCTGGGTAGATATGTGGGTATCTTGGTGGGCGGGTGGCTACATTGGTAGGTATGTGGGTGGGCATGTGGGTGGGTGGATAGATGGGTAAGTAGGTAGGTGGATGGGTAGGTGGATGGTTAGGTGGGTAGATCTGTAAGGGGGTTGATAGGTCGGTATGTGGGTGGATAGGTTGTGAGGTAGCCAGATGGTGGCAGGACATCAATCGATTCTTGACTGCATTTGTGCAGCTTTTGGTGTCAACCACGTTCACGCTTTCCTCCCCCAGCGAATCCAAAGTCTCACTAATAATGGGATTCATGACCAAGCATCCAAACTGAAGCAGGACCCTCCTAAAAGCGAGTTTTTTCCTTGTTACATGAAGGGCATTCTCGTGTTATTGTTATTGGGATTATCAGGACATCGTTTGTTTCCGATCAGCGGTAGAGTGAAGTAGGCGGCACGTGTCAAGTAATGCACGGTCAGCAGAGCAGTTGTGATGGATGTGGTGTGCCGCATGCGGCAATAATATAACTGGGTCCGCCAAACCCGGACAGGCCCAGCTGGAATTAAGCCCCTGCTTCTATGTAGTCCTGCAGACG